AGCAGCGAAGCCGTGAGTGGACCCACAACGGCCGAATTGAACCGGTCGCCGTACCACAGGCTCAACTCGGTCAAAAGATCGGATCGGTATCGGCCGAGTCCCGAGTTGCAGCCGCTGCCTCCTCTGTCCAAGCCTCCCCAGAACCTCAACTCGGCTTCTCCCGTGTCGTCTTCCGATGAAGAGAGCCATGAAACCGCGTTTCATTCGCCGAACTGCTCTTCTATCAGCTATGACGACAGCTACTACACGCCGAGGCAAGGCAGTGTAAATGGAGGCGCCAATAGTGCTCCGATTCATGTGGCAAATTCGATTCCCCATTCCAAAAGAACTTCTCCAAAATCGCGCCTCTCGGTTTCTTCTACCACAAGGAACCAGGTTGCTCCGCCACCTCCGCCGCCTCCGCCGCCACCTCCGCCGCCACCGATGCCAATTCAGATGCAAGCCCGCGATGCGCAACAAAGAGCTCCATCTTATTCTCATAAGAGGCCGAAATTCTCTTCCCCTCCGCCACCGCCACCAAATTTGGCGCGGGTATCTAGAGCTCCCGTTCCACCTCCGCCGCCACCTCCACCGTCTCGACCGCCGATATTGAGACAGCAGGAAGTTGGGGATTCGGAAACAGTTACAAAAGTTTCTGCAATGTCAGCCCAAGTGTCAGCAAAGACACAATCATCCTATGCATCAATCCCAAAAGGGTCTTTTGAAAATGGGACTAGAAAAACTGCTAAGCCAGTTGCTGATGAGAGTTTGGTGTCTTCGGAGAGTTTTGAAGCTGATGATGCTGGAGGGGCAAAGCCCAAGTTGAAGCCTCTGCACTGGGATAAGGTTCGGGCAACCTCGGACCGAGCCACAGTATGGGACCAGCTGAAATCAAGCTCATTCCAGTGAGTAGTTTCGGTTCAGTTGGCATTGCTGCATGTTGTTTAGTTTTTGTTGTTTTTTAGGCTCTGGTGTGCAAATTCTGATTTTAGTGATGTATTGGTTTCTTTGTAGATTAAATGAAGACATGATGGAGACTCTTTTTGGCTGCAATTCGGCGAATTCGGTCCCGAAAGCTAAAGAGCCTATTAGAAGATCAGTTCTACCTCCTGTTGAACAAGAAAACAGGGTTTTGGATCCAAAGAAGTCGCAGAACATAGCTATACTATTGAGAGCACTGAATGTAGCAAGAGATGAGGTCACTGATTCTCTTTTAGATGGTAAGTGATTTCTTCTTCTTTCTCTTTTAGGATGAGTAATTAGCTCCTTCATTCTCCTTGGTGATGAAGAAATTTTTTTCAACAAATTCAGTTAATATTTAACTCAATTTACTGAAAACATAGCAATGTCTACCAAGAACAGCTAACCATGTGTCTGTAGATTCACTTTCCATTGTTCCTGACTCATAAAACTCATATATATTGTAAGCTCTATTTTGCGTGGATATCGTGAATTCTTAAAGCATTTCAAAATAATGAATTAAATAAGTTTCTAATAACACAAATTATTTTGAGGTACGCATTATATTTTAAGCCAATTTTTGGGAAAGAGAATAAGGAGATAGAGGAGGATTTCAAAAACAGAAGTCGGAGTTAAAAGTTTAAGTGAGAAGAAGAAGGCATTATTGCTACTTGAATAAGAGTAAAAGTAGTTTAACAAGTTACCCTATAAGTTCGGATAAGAGTAATCCTTGAAAGCAACAGAAGGGTAGTCATACCCTAAAGCCATAAGACCAAGTTACTAGCATCAGGCATCATTAGTGGGCTCACTGTTGATTGGTTCCAAATCCTACCATTAACCATTCATCATCACAGGGCTCCAGCTTCTAATTCTTTTTTTATCTTCGAAGTTGACATTTTAATAAATCAGTTATTTTTCCAACAAAGTTTTTTCAATTCCCTACAACCTTCCTTGTGAGATATAATCTATTGTCTTAAGAGTTTTGCATTGGAGGCAATAGGTTCATGCATCCATGTTTAATATTTGTCAACAGGAATACATTGTCCTGTTGGATGAAAGCATTCAATACTTTGAAGTTTTATCCTATATTTTAACTGCAAAAGCAATAATTACTGCGACTGATGTTTAAACTAGCCTGTAGTCCTACCAATGGCATTCTTAAAGGTATCTGGGTGCGAGCGAGTCTTGATTTACTTATAATTATAGCCTCATAGAATTTAGATTGACGTGTGAAATTCAATTTGTACAAGCAGCTTAACCCATTATGTATCACATTCAGATAAACAGGGTCAATCTTTGAAACATTCCTATTCATTAGAACTCAAAATACAATTATACAAGCACGCATAAAAGCTACATCCAGATGTCACCTTTTGCATGAGTCAAAAAAGAGCCCTGTAGGTGGATAGTAATCCAACAAAGAATTTTTTTTTTCTCATTTATCATTGCATATTCACCCGTTGAAAGTTCCATTACGTGATGTCAACATTTATCAGTCACTAGAGGATGCAAGAGTTTGTTAACTTTCTCTCTCCCCTCCCATGTTTCGATGGTATTATTTACATCTGCTGCATCATGTGCATTATGTGCTTGTACATAACAGGTAACCCAGAAGGCTTGGGCGCCGAGCTGTTGGAAACTCTGGTAAAGATGGCTCCAACAAAGGAAGAAGAAATTAAACTTCGAGACTACCAGGGTGACGTCTCAAAATTAGGGACTGCTGAACGCTTTTTGAAGGCAGTGCTTGATATCCCATTTGCCTTTAAGAGAGTTGAAGCAATGCTATACAGAGCTAACTTTAATACAGAAGTGAAGTACTTGAGGAAGTCTTTTCAAACGCTGGAGGTATTTTTTCTGAAATTGACAATTATTGCTTTCTTGATTACTTAATTCCATGAATATTGACGTAAAAACTCACACCCAAGATCTTGCCATTCTTCAGGAAGCAAGTGAAGAACTAAAGAACAGTCGATTATTCCTTAAACTCCTCGAAGCTGTTCTCAGGACAGGGAACCGAATGAATGTTGGGACCAACCGTGGTGATGCTAAATCTTTTAAACTTGATACACTATTAAAACTAGTAGACATAAAGGGAACAGATGGAAAGACCACATTGCTCCATTTTGTGGTCCAAGAGATTATAAGATCTGAAGGTTCAGTGGTTGACTCCACAAATGAGAATGCCAAAAAAATGCCCATCAATGCGAAGGAAGATGATTTCAAAAAGCAAGGATTGCAAATTGTGGCAGGCCTGGGCAGAGAC